AAAACATTATGAGCAAATTTAGTATATTTACTAGAAATAAAATTGCAGTGATGGGGCGCTTGAGTGGCTCAGTCGGTTAAGCTTCCGACTCTTGATTTTGGCTCAGGTCATGATCTCAGGGTCCTGAGACCGATCCCTGTGTCGGGCTTCACACGTGGTGGCGTGGGGGGGGGGGGAGTCTGCTGAAGTCTCTCTCTCCTGCTCCCCCTTCCCCTCCCCTCATTCTCTCTCACATTAAAATAAATAACTTTTTTTTGAATTTTATTTTTTTCAGTGTTCTAAAGTTCATTGTTTATGCACCACAGCCAGTGCTCCATGCAATACGTGCCCTCCACTTTTTTTTCAAAAAAGAAATAAAACTGCAGTGATAAATAAGGCTTTATAAATGAGGTCTACTCCATTTAAGCCAGAAGGAAGGAAGGGACGAATGAATGAACATACAAACAGACTTGGGGTGCTCTCTGGAGAAGGACAGCCTATGGACCCAACCAGTCCCTCCCCTCAGGGCTGGGCAGACACTCAGTGAATGGTCTGCCCCGGGTTCCCCCGACATAGTACACACCCAGGACTCGTCATGAGATTCCACATGAGTCGGGGATTATGTCTGTTGACCCCACCCAACCCCAGGATGGCCACACAGTAGCCTCACCCTGGGTCAGGCCATGCCCACTTGTGGGAAAGGAGTCTGGATTTAGTCTTGAAATTGCCTATGCAAGGGGGACCTCCTCTCCTTTCCTCTGTGCCATCTGCCCTGCCTGAGCAGCCTCTGCATTCTTTATTACGACACAGGAGGTCAATATCCCCACCCCACAACGGGGGTCCAACACACGGAGGAATGTCACAAGCCTGTTGGGAAAAAATCCCCACAATCCGATGGTGACACTTGGCCTGGCCCTGGCCCTCAGGCTGCAGTCGCTTGTCAGACCCAGCTCTCCAGGCTTGTGTATCCTCTGTGGAGGGCCCACCACAAGTCCAGAGTCCTCTTCCTGGACACAGCAGACTAACTAGATTCCAGTCAAAAAAGAGAGAAAGAGCCTTCAGCAATGTTCATGCCATGCCTGCTGTGGTCTTATATCAGAGCCACCTGTATCTCACAGTCTTTCAGTCCCAGGGTCTTGTTGCCCCCGGTGGGGAAAGATGGTGTGCCTCCAAGCCAGAAGGAACACACAGGGGTGTGGCTCTTTGATGAAGGAGAGACCAGAGTAATCAAAAAGGACTTGAGTGACTTGAGGAATTCTGTTAAGTTTACAACCCCTCCCCCCAGCACCCAGAGCAAGCAAGAGATAGTCCATGGAGAGCAGCTCAGAACTGACAGTACTGAATGTTGTTTGGGAAGGTAGCATGGTTTGGAAACGCTGTTGACATCATAGTCTGGTAGAATTGTGGGGACTAGTATATGGGCAGTTTTGTGTGCTAGGGAGGGTTGCTTGTTTGGAGAGACCAGTAGCTTTGAGCAACTGGAAAGTTCATATTTGGGGTAAGTTTGGATGTGTTGATTTGAGGAAGGCAGCACATTAAGAGTGACTGTGGTTTTGGAGATTTTGGCTTTGTGGATGATGTGGGATTAGAGGGACGAGGGACGAGGATGGGTATTTGGAGACCTTTGAGGAATTTAGTCATTTGGAGCTTGAGAAATTTGGTGGATTGGTTTAGGGCTTGACACACTTGAAGTTATGCGACTGGTGGATTTGGGGAGTTAGGTGGACATGGGAATTTGAGCATCATGGAAAATTTAGGACTTGAGTTTGGAAAGTTTGGAAATACTGATGCCTTGAGGGAGGATAGAGGTTTGGAGAGTTTCATGTGTTGGAACAAGTGGGTATATTTGGGCAGTATGGTGTGTTTGGGAGGTTTGTTGGTTTGGAAAGGGTGAGTGGCATAAGGATATTGGTAGGTTTGGGGGCAGGTGATGGACATAGGACAAGGTTGGGCTTGAGGGGGTTGACAGACATGAAACATTGGTGAATTTGGGGAGGTTGAGGCTTTGGTGTGTTTGGTTTTGAAGGCTAGTATTTTTGGAAGGTTGCTGATTTGTGGAAATTGGCAGCTTTAGGGATGTGGGTAGATTCATGGATGATGGGATGTGAAGAATGATTAGGTGCTTTGGACATTTTCTTGGGTTTGAAGAGTGAGAGTTTTGGTGGCACTGGTGAGTATAGTGAAGATGGGGTTTGGAAGAGATTATCACATTGGAAGAGGCATAGTATATGGAGAGGTTTTGGAATTAAAGACATTGAATGTTTTATGGAGGTTGATGACTTAAGGTGTGTTTAAGGGTTTGGTTAAGTTAGTAGATGTGAGTATTTTAGAAACTTGAAGAAATTGTTTGGCTTGTGGAGAATGATAAACTTGGAAATGGGGCTAGACCTCTGTCAGATGGAATAGAGAAGGCCATGAACTGTTGATCACATTTACATTGATTATCTCCATAGGGTAGGCCAATGTTATTCGACTTTGGCACCTGATGGATGCAGGGCAGCGGTATCCCACTCAAAACCAGGTATCTAGGAAAGCAACCAACTCTTTCCTTATGGAAGAGTGTGGTCAATGTAGCTAAGATCATCATTCCTCTTTTCCCTAGTCCTATTCCCAACCCAATTTGGGGGAGATAATAAGATTAGGGGATCAAGGTAGAGAAAGAAGAGGCAAAAAACTGGGTGAGGGAGCAAGGACTAAGGAAACAGAGCAGAGAACAGTGATGGGGAACAAAAAAGAGCAGGGAGCAGTGGTACAAATCACAGAAGAGAGCATGGAACAAGGTGAGGTGGCAGAGAAAAGAGAGAAAAAGCAAGAAAGAGAAGACGGACCAGTAATAGGGAAATAAAGGCCACAGATGGTCCTGCACTGCGGGTACAACTGAGGGAGCCAGTCACAGTACAAATACACTACAAGTTGCCTTGTTTCTACTCACAGCTGTGTTCTTCCCACTCCAGTTTCCACTGTATATATTCAAGTTCAACTTCTAGCATTCAGGAGGTCTAGAAAGGAAAGAACCCATGGCATGAGGGTCATCACAGTGTATGCAAATAGGCACAGGCAGGTTCCTAGTGTGGTTTATGAATTCAAAGCCTCGGTTCCAGAGGCTCTAACATCCTGGGGCAAGTACAGAAGTAGGTATGGTCATGCAGACCCGGAAACTGTGTTCTAGTGACGTCATGAAAAAAATGTCCTTAGAAAGGTACACTTTCCTGGGCTTGCAGGTGAAGCCCAGGATGGAAATGTTTGTGTCAAGGATGAGAGGGCAAGTATCTTGAAATTGATCGACTCACCCCAAATGCAGAATTTCCCACTGGAGATGCCCACTTCGGGATGTAAGCACAATTATTCTCCTTAGCAGTCATATAAATACATTCAAATGCCCTTCAGTTCCCGTGATCCTCTGTAATGAGAATTGAAAAGTAGTTGTGTGAGCCCAGGGTCTTACTATGTCTTCAGGATTCACTGGACTCCAGAAATTTACTTCCCTCTTGGTAGAGCTGGTTTGTTTGTTTGTTTGTTTGTTTTTAATACCTTGTATTTTGGTGGGAATATGGATGTGGGAAGAGTTAAACCAACTTTATCTGGTGACGTAGATTCATGAAAAAGCATATTCCAGCTGACATGACGAGAAACTTGTAATTGGGCACATCACGCGGAGGGAAAGCAAATTTAAATTAGGGAACCCTTACCGGGAAGGGATGGAAGAGTTTACCCTTCGGAGTGATCAGAGATGGAGTCTATTTCTCCGAAGATTACGCAACTAATGGAAATGGAATTTTTCTTAACCCAACTAAGGTAAATGGAAATCCTGCGGGCAATGGAGCCAGGACTCTCGTCTGCCGATCCTCAAAGGCTTTGTCCTGCGGTTTAAAAACAAATCCCGCTCCTGCCACTTTCTAAACTAGGGAGGGCACCCTCTAGAGGGCGGGTCCCCAACGGCGGAGGCGTCGCACCTTCCCTCTCCCAGCCAATGGTGGCGCGTAGAAGCCGGAGGGGCATTTTCCTCAACCAACCAGAGCTCCTAGGCCTTTCAAAGCCACGCCTGCATGTCCCTCCCTCGTGCCCGGACTCCTAAACCGCAAAGCTCCGCCCACAGAGTTTTGTTCGGAAGTGAGGTCTACCCGGCCTTTAGCGAATCTGGGCAGACCTTGGGCAGCTCGCACACTGCCTTCGTAAGCCCACTCCCCAGCCCCCATGATGATGTCCACAGCTGTCCGTTTCCCCCAGAGACTGTCGAGATCTTTACCGGTCACACGGTACTTTCTGCATCTGAGAAGCCCGCCTTTCGCTTCTTTAGCAACCGAGCCCCATAGGCGGGCCAGACTGCGCTCAGCGCTCCGATTGGAAACGGGGACTGTCCGTCAATTATTTCACCCCATCGCTTTTTCAGGTGGATTAGGGAGGATGAAGTAGCCTCCATTTGGGGGGAGCGCGCCTATTGGTCAGATATTGGTAACTATCCTGACCGGCTGTGAAAGTCCTCGAGCCTTCGATTGGGCTCAGGGATATGTCAGTCAAGATGGGCGGGTGCAATCGCAATGCCGCGCACAGAATTGGTGGAGATACGGCGCAGCCCGCCTGGGTGCGGAACGGCAGGAGAGCCGGCTTCTCCTGATTGGGCCAAAAGGGAAGCCCTCCGGCTCCGGATTGGCTGAACGCGAGCCGCGCCCCCGTCACGCCGATAGCCTACTGTAAGGGAGGCTGCCCGGCTAGCCTGTGTTAGCCTTGCGAGCCAGTGCGGTGAAAGGAGCTCTTAGGCGGCGCACCGGGTCTCCAGCCAGACCGACGTAAATCCGGGAGTGGAGCGCGTCATCTCAACGGTGAGGGGACACTAGCGTGCGGCGGGAGACCGGGTTGCTGCGCGGAAAGAGAATAAAGCGCCGCAGCCGGAAGTGTCTTCAGAGCGGCGTCGTACCCGGAAGTGTGGCAAGACGGCAGCCCCACCCGGAAGTGTGATGTTACCGCTGCCTGGGAAGTGATGGTACCCGGCCAATTGGGATACGGGATTAAAACAGGTGTTTATGTCTCTTTATCTGCTGAAGCTCATTAGAACCTCCTTTTCGGGAAATCTTGGAGGGTGCAAGTAGTTGGTCGTGTTTTTGCTTGTCTCATCCTGTTGAAACCCGAGGGAAAACAAGCACTAGGAATGTGTTCAAGGGGTCCAGGCTCAGTAGAGGCTTTTAAGAAGTTTCTTTTGCTGCCTGTCACCCTCAATTCCCTTACCCCACAGGGATGTGCAGATGGAGGCTGGAGGAGACACTACTGCCCCAGCCCCTGGGGACGCGGAGGACTTGGAGGACACTCGGCTCCCCAGTGAGGAGGATGGAGAGGATGGAGAGGTTCACGAGGCCCCGCCGGATCCTGGGGACGGGGACCTGGAGAAAACAGGTATGCCTTCCTCTCACCAGGGTCTTGGAAAGAATACCTAAAGGGTGTCATTGCTGGGGGAGGTCCGAGGGGGACCAGCGAGGAGTCTTTTGGGACTCAGGAAAGTAGTTTAGAGCATAGCAGGATTAGTAGGAGGCCATGGTGGACACACAATGTAGTTTAAATCATTGAGAAATGAAATCAGTGGGTGTCAGTGTGATGTTCACTGGGGACTTGGTCCGAGTTCAGGCCTTTGAAGAATCAGAGGTCAGCTGGCGCCAACGAGGGGCATGGGGGATTTAGGATGTTAAGGTCAATGAATGACCAAAAGAAAGTCGATATGACCAAAGGGGAACTATTTAAAAGTCTGTGTCTTTTGAGGCTAGGGTGTTACTTCAGTCATTGAGGTGGGAAAGGGGATCAGTGGTGACAAATGCACATTCAGTGTTTACATCTTTGAGAAAGTCAGTGGTGAGTTGTTGGTGGCAGTCTTTAAGGAACCAGAAATTAGTAGATGTTAATGGTGATCATCCGTGAGGTAGCAATGGACATCAATGAGATTATTTGGAGAGTCGACCGATAGGAGGGTATTTGAAGACCTAGGTCGATGCGTAGAGGTATTCAGTGAAGACTCATTGGGAGTCATTGCGGAAGCAATGCACACGGACTGCTTCGGAATGAGTGGATGTTGGTGTCATCATCAGGAAGGATGCGTGGACATCACTGAGAATAAAGGGTGTGGGTGAGGGGTGTCTAAGAATTCGGGAATTATTGGCAAGTAATGGCAGCTCTTGGGAAGGTAACTGGAAGGAGGACATGGGGGATAAGCAAATGTCAATCAAAGAATGAGGAATATGAGGTTATCAGGATTGTATAGGAAAATTGTTGAAATAAGGGTTGTCAATGGAAGATCAGTGGACATTGACTGGAATAAATGGGATGTCAAGGGAATCAGTAGGGGGCAGTCGTGGGTTTTATTGCTGATTGTTAATGATGGTCACGAGGAGGGGAGATGGAGGTCATTATTATAGTCCTGTGTGTTAGTGTATGTTATGGGGGATATTGTAAGGAGGGGAGTGGATTATCAATGAGAACAACAGGAGGTGAAGGAAGTCAGAGGATGTCACTGAAGTCCTGGATATTAGTGGAAATTAATAGTAGTCATTGGAGGAGATGGGAGAATGAAATAAAAAAGGGTCAGGTGAATCAGGAGAGGTTATTTGAGGTCTTGGATGTTAGTAGATGTCAGTGGTAGTCATGGTGGGGAGTGGAGTGCGCATGGGGTAAAATAGATTGTGTGTCAGGGTAGTCACTGGTGGTCATTGAAGACCCAGGTATTAGTGATATTAATGGAATAATTGGAATGTTAGTGAACAGCAGTGGGAGTAAATAGGGGGTTAGGGGAGGCTAAAAGATATGGGTGCTAGTGGACATTCATGGCAGTCATTGGGAGAATTAGTGGTTATCACCAAAAATATACATGGGTGACCAGAAGAGTCAATGAGGTCATTAGGGATCAGTGAACATTCATGAGAATAAATAAGGTATTGGGGAGGGATGGGGCAGGGGAAGGATTTAAATGAGAGACTGTGGAGATATTAGTGGGTATCATGGTGGCCAATGAGAGGTGAGTAGTTGATACTAGGAAAATATATGAGGGATCAGAGGTATTCATGGGGGATTATTGAAGATGAAGTTACTAATAATGGTCATTCAGAAGCAATAGCGTGCTTTGAAGACTTGAAAGTGGTGGTTATTGGAAGGAAAATAAAGGTCTCTAGGGATATAGAGGGCTCAGTAATGACAGAGATTGGATTGTTGGGGCTTTAGGGGGATTGTGTGGAGGTCATTGAGGGGCTAAGGGGACACCTGGGGGTCTCTGTCAGCATCAGGGGTCAGTGGGGGGCACTGGTAGAGATTTGATAAGTCCTTGGGCACACGGGGTTAAGGGGTGTCCACAGCCAGATGACCTACCAGGAGTTCCCTTTCAGAATCCGAGACGAAGGATCAGCCATCCAGCCTGCTGTCACCACTGCCCCAAACAGAGGCCCCATCATGCAACTGTGGGCTTTGGGATCCTGCAGCCTCAGAGAATAGTCCCGTGGGTGGCGCTGAGAGTGGCTCTGGGGGCCAGGGCGGGGACCCCAGTGATGAGGACTGGCGCAGCAAGCGAAAGCACGTGTTTGTGCTGAGCGAGGCAGGCAAGCCCATCTACTCAAGGTATGGTAGCGTGGAGGCTCTGTCGACGACCATGGGTGTGATGACGGCCCTCGTGTCCTTCGTGCAGAGTGCAGGAGATGCCATCCGCGCCATCTACGCTGGTGAGCAGAGGAGGAGGAGGTAGAGCAGGGGATGGTGACTGGGAAAAAGGCTGAGTGGCCAGCCGGCTGCCTGGGAGATTGTCCAGGCAGCCAGGGGCAAGTCCGTGTATGTGGGTGGCTGGCCAGGATCTGTCTGTTGTCTGACTGTTTGGCCTGCTGGGTTCTGAGTGATTAACACACCTGGATCTGAGTTACCGGATACTTCCTGGTTTATCTGAAAGCGTGACTTTGGGTGCTCAGCTTTGTGGCTGAGTTGGGTGTCTCTAGGTTCCATGTCAGTCCTTGCTCTGTTGTCCCCTGACCCATGCTTTGTGTCTAACCTGATTCCTTGACCGTCCCATCATGTCTCTACAACTAATCCAGACTCCCCCAAGCTGTCCTTATCCCCCTCCCAGTGTACCGCCGAGTGACCACGTGAGCTTGGGCCAGGAGTGCATGTGTTCAGGGAAAGAGCGGCAGAGCCCTGCCTGACCCCGCCAGTCGCGCTGACCCCTCTCTACCCCCTGCCCCCCCTTCCCTCCCCCAGAGGACCACAAGCTGGTGTTCCTACAGCAGGGCCCACTGCTGCTGGTGGCTGTGTCGAGGACTCCTCAGTCGGCAGCCCAGCTCCGCGGGGAGCTGCTGGCCGTGCACGCACAGATCGTGAGCACGCTGACCCGTGCAAGCGTGGCCCGCATCTTCGCGCGCAAGCAGAACTACGACCTCCGCCGCCTGCTGGCCGGTTCAGAGCGCACGCTAGACCGGCTTCTGGACAGTGTGGAGCGGGACCCCGGCGCCCTGCTGTTGGGCGCCGTGCGCTGTGTGCCCCTGGCCCGCCCACTGCGCGAAGCCCTGGGTGCGCTGCTGCGACGGTGCACGGCGCCCGGCCTGGCCCTCTCGGTGCTGGCCATCGGAGGTCGACTGGTGACAGCGGCCCAGGAGCGGACTGTGTTAGCCGAGTGCCGGCTGGACCCCGCCGACCTGCAGCTGCTGCTCGACTGGGTGGGGGCGCCGGCCTTCGCTGCGGGGGAGGCGTGGGCACCTGTGTGCCTGCCCCGCTTCAATCCGGATGGTTTCTTCTACGCCTACGTGGCGCGCCTGGACGCCATGCCCGTGTGCTTGCTGCTGCTTGGCACTGACCCTGAGGCCTTCCATGACATGGCCACCTGCCGGCGCCTGGTTGAAGAGGGCATGCACGCCCTTGGTGCCGTGCGGGCCCTGGGGGAGGCTGCCAGCTTCTCCAATGCCCCATCAGCCAGTGCTCCTGCCTACAGCGTTCAGGCTGTGGGGGCACCGGGCCTCCGGCACTTCCTCTATAAGCCACTGGATATCCCCGACCATCACCGGCAGCTGCCCCAGTTTACCAGGTAGGCCCTGACCCTGTGGGCAGTTGGCTGGGCAGGAAGGCCTGAGATCTGGCATCTCGTAGACAAGAGGTGGGAGAGAGCCAGGCATTCTCTAGAAGGATGGGATAGAATGGGTGTATGCCACTGAGGGAGGCTCAGCCACCAACCTCAAGGAATCCCGTATTCTGATGAAGAAGAGGGCACCAGTACTCGAGGAGGCCCCTCGGTAGCTGGGCTTCCAACCACTGAGAAACCTCAAGTCTAATGGGGGCGACTGGGCTCCCTCGTTTCATCGAACTCCCTAGACTGAGGGGAGCTGGGCCAGCCAAGCAAGCCTCTGACTGACGCTGGCCTCCCTGCCTTCATCACTGCAGCCCTGAGCTGGAGGCCCCGTACAGCAGAGAGGAGGAGCGACAGCGCCTGTCCGACCTGTACCACCGTCTGCACGCGCGCCTCCACAGCGCCTCCAGGCCCCTGCGTCTCATTTACCACGTGGCCGAGAGGGAGACGCTGCTGGCCTGGGTGAGTCGGCTAGGGGCCCGAGAGAGTTCATTCCTGACTTCACGCCCCCTTTGCCTCCACTCTATCCCCTCTGACCATAACAGCCTCCATGAGGCACACCCTGCCTTGGCCTGCATCGCTCTTCCTACCATTACACACGTATCTTTGAAACCCATAAGGATTGCACAGTCTACAGCCCTCCTGTACCGCTCTTCTCTTCGTTGTTCCCCCATTAGCTACCAGTATAGCATCCTCAACTTGGAAGAGGTCCCATTAACAGCCATCAGTGTGCCTGTTGCTTTCCCAGTAACCCTGCCCGTATGTCTCTCTGCCAGTTCATTTTTCGCTTTGGGAGTCCCCAGCACTCTTGAAGACCACAAGCTTGGTCCTAGGCCGTGCCTTCTACCTGGGGTGTCCTGCCCTGGGGGCTTTCAGGGTTCCTCTCCTCACTTCCTGTGGGTCTGTTAAGGGTCAGCTGTTCAGGGAGTTTGGCCAAGGTGACCCCACTGGAAATGGCACCTTCCCTCAGGCTCTGCCAGCTGGCAGACATGTATTAAATCATTCATTGTATGTTTATTGGGTATGAGGCATTGTTCTCACCTAAGGATTTTATTTTTAAGTTTTTTTAACTTTTATTTCTAAGCAATTTTAGACTTACAAGGAAGCTGCAAAATAGTACAAATAATTACTACAAATAGGTCCCTCACCTGGTTTCTCCAGATGTTAACCACAGGAGCTTTTAAAAAATCAGGAAATTAACATCAATACAACGTCCAAGCCTCTGACTTCATTCAGATCTCACCAGTTGTCCCACTAATGTCCTTTAACTGGTCCAGAATCCAGCCCAGAATCATATGTTGGTTTATCTATTGTTATCTCTTCAGTCCTATTTATTCTAGAATCCTTTCTTAGTCTTTAGTTTCTTGTGCATCCTGGATACTTTTTAAAAGAGTACCAGCTAGTTAGTTTGTAGGATGTCCCTCAACTTGAGTTTTTCTATATTTTATCGTGACTGAAATAAGGTCAGGCATTTTTGACAAGAATATCAGAAGAGTGAGTGATATGCCCTTCTTTGCCCCGGATCGGGAGATCCACAATGTCAGGTTTGTCCCACTGTTGATGTAACTTAGGTCACTTGGTTAAGGTGGTGTCTCCCAGATTTCTGCACTATGTAGTGTTTTCCCCCTTTACCCCTCGTAATTATCTTGTGGGGATTATGTCAGGTTTCTGTTTTTCATCACACTTTCATTCACTAATTTTAATAGCCATTAATGATTCTTGTCTGCAATAATTACTACTCTGGTGTTTGCCACGTGGTGATTTTTGAACTGTATCATCCCTTCCACATTTATTATTTGACATTCTACTTCTATATGAAAGAACTCTTCCTCCCCCTACTTATTGGTTGAATTTTTAATTTTATATCAATATGGTCTCATGGATGTTTCTTTAAGTCAGTGAGCTAAAAGCCTTTTCTGTCATTGATTTTGGTGCTGAAACTATCTCAGTGTAGCCAGGGCGGGCCCTGTTTCTTTTTTATATGTCTCCATCACTGTTTGAGCATTCCTGTTTTCTGGCACACGATGTTCCAGGCTCATCATGTACTTTCTCTGTGCCAGGCCTGGAATCAGCCATTTGTCCAAGGAGCCCGTGTACTTTTGGTAGAGCATGGCATTTCAAAACCAAGATATTGTAGGCCCAGGATTTTAAATTGGGTTGTCAGGGGATGACTCACTGAAGAGATGGAGAGGGAAAGGACCGTGCAAATGCTGTAAGGTGAGACAGAACCTGTATGTTTTAGGAATAGCAAGGAGAGGTTAGAGTGGCTGGAACAGAGTGAGCGAGGGGGAGAGCAGTGAGAGGTGATGCAAAAGTGACCTGGTCAGGTTGGGTCTCTCTGTTTGGTATAAGGATTAAATGGAATTAATCCTCCTATTATGCCCCGGCTACAAAGGATGAAAACAGTTATGTGGAGCTTAGAACAGAACCTTGTATACAACAACCGCTCAGTAAATGCTAAGCACTATTGTTGTTATACCCGGGTCCACAGGTGAGCAAACTGACATCCAGGGTGTATGTGTATGTGTGTGCGCGTGCGCGCGTGTACACACACACACACACACACAGAGCCAGCATTACCCAGCTGAAGCCACTAGATTCAGCTGATTCCTTGGCCCTACTGAAAACCTCTGGCCCACGGTGACATAGCACCAGGTGGGAACCCTCGCCCTGTGTGTTTTCCAAACAAGAGACAAGCCTGGGGCCCAGGTGGGGTAGACAGGACAGAGCATGGCCAGCTCTGGCCTAACTAACTCTGTCTCTTCTCAAACCTGCAGGTGACTTCCAAATTTGAACTCTATACCTGCCTCAGCCCGCTGGTGACAAAGGCAGGTGCCATCTTGGTAGTGACCAAACTCCTGCGCTGGGTGAAGAAAGAGGAGGATCGACTCTTCATCCGTTACCCACCCAAGTACTCCACACCCCCAGCTGCCCCAGCTCCCTCTACAGACCAACCTTCCCATAATGGCTTGTTCACTGGACCTTGAGTGGCAGAGTTCTTAGATTGGGCCGTGCTGAGAAGCACCACCTTTGGCTTTTACCTTCTGCCTCCAGCCTGGAAATGGGGCAGGAGGACACAGGAAAGGCTGCTTCCCCAGTCCAGTGATGCTCCTCCAGCTCTGGGGACATCCTTGGGCCCCTCTGCCCTGTTCTCCCTCTGCCCCACCTCTTCCACTTGGATGACATCCCTCTGTCAGAGGCTCTCTCCCCCAGTCCTGGGCACCACACCCTCTGTCCTGCAGCAGGAGTTGGCCTCCTGGTGGGCTGTGAGCCCTGAGTGTCCAGGGTTGGCCAGGGTCCCTTTGGGTGGTCCACAGGAACTCTGGAATTGGGAATGCATGGCCAGCCTTTATGAAAGGCTTTAAGAAAGAAACCGTACCTAAAAGACCTCAAATCACTTTTAACAAGGACATCCCTTTGCCCTTCACCTACTTCATCTTCACCCAGTCAGAAGTGACCCCCGTCAATGTTGGCTGCTGGTGGTGGAGAAGGTGGCCTTCTGGGCAGAACACCTGACTGACTTCACACCTGGCTGAGATCCAAACGGTGTGCATGGGAGGCACGCTTGGCTTCTGAGGCTCGTTGAACTCACCCGTGAAGTGCAGAGAACCTCGCATCAGCTGTCACGCGAGGATCTGTGAACAACGAAAAGGGACTCGAACTCTTGGGTACCACTGCACAGTTCACATATGTGTGTCTCGTACTTCCAACCTGCACACGTAGCAACCTAGAGTGGGAAAGGCCTCCCTAGAGTTCATGTGCGTGGGCACAGCACTCCCTTCTCAACCGACCAAGACCTGGTCGTGCCCTACAGTAGAGTTGGCGGACCTTGGGGTGTACGCATGCGCGCCGTCGTTCAGGGGCTCAGGTCCGCGATTCGGAAACCTCCATGCTGCTCCGCTCCGGTCAACTGACGGGCCAACGCGCGCTGCACGCATGCGCGCTCACGTAGGTTTTTGGTGGGGTTTTTTTGTTTGTTTGTTTGTTTGTTTTTTGACCAATCGTCATCCCAGGTGTACGCAAGCGCAAACCCCACATTGGAAAATGGAAAACGGCAGGTTGGAGCCTTTGAAAATGGAGCCCCCGGAATTGGTAAAGGCGGCGGAGGAGGCTGAAGGTAGGAAGGGCGAGCCAGCCTCTCCGGGCGCGGCGGAAGGGAGAGAGCCCTGTCCCGTCACAATGACGAAATAGTAATAGCAGTACTAAAAAAAAAAGTAAAAATGGAAGCTTTTTATAAAAACAAAACCGTTCACCAAAGGGGGAAAAAAATAACGTGCATCTTGTCATCATCTAGATTAACTCCGCTTTATCGGGCACATTGGTTTAAGGGTTTCGAAGGAACAGTCGACTAAATATCTCTGCAGACGAAACACGGAGACGGATGTCGTCTCCAAAGACACCGGCTCCTGTCACACCGAGGAGAAACACAGTAGTTCCCCAGTGTCATTTCACACCCAGCCCACATCCCATCTCACACGGACTCGAGTCTGAATCGAGGGGCCTCTCCCGTGTCCGGCGTCGCTCTGGGGCCCTTGGTCGATAGTGACACCCCCACACCCCGGCGAGGGGCAGAGGGTGGCCCTAGAGATCATTAGAAAACGTAGTGTGGCTCGAAGAAGGAAACCTCCCAATTCAGTGACCCACCGCTATGTCACTAACATTCTTTTTTTTTTTTTTTTTTTATTGTAGACATTTTTGGAATGTACCAAAGTACAGCAAATAATGTGGTGAAGGCCCACTCCTGTCTCCACAGCTCTGACTTTCTGCCCTCTGATCTCTGTCCCCCTTCGTACACACTCTTTAAACCACTGTATCAATGTCATTTGGACTGCATCTTGCCAGATCTATCTATGCAGACGTTAACAATAATTACGATTGTTCACTTGTTTATTGTTACTTCTTTAGCACCTAAAACAATGCCCGCTTGGCAGATAGTAGGTGCTTACTAATTTTTTTTTTAATTGTATGAATAGTAACAGGAAGAGCTCTCAGGTTAGGGCTAGGCATCAAGGGCCAGCTTTCAACAAAGGACATTCAGAAAGAAGACAGATGCAAATAGATCTCGTATATTAAGCACTTGCTATAGCCCTTAAAATAGTAGCAATTGTGCTAAAACCTATTTTAGAATCCAGCTTTCAAATTAGTCAAAATTGGAGTCATAATTAACTTCACCAGCATTGGAGAAAATTGAAAAGCATGTAAGTTAGCATTTCTAGCCCATTGAAAATGGATTTAAAAAGAGGGATAAATTAATATTGATTACTGTGTGGGGAAACAGGCTCTCTCTTGCCTCACTTAGAACTGACCAGTAAAGGCTTTGCTAGAAGTGGTTTGGCAGAATGTTTTTAGCATCTAAAATGCTATTTCATCTCTTTAGTCACCATGCTTGGTAATCAGGGAATATACAGATGTGTGGCCCATGAAGGACCATCACAGTGTTATTGATGGAAGCAGAACAAGGAGCAATCAGGGAAATGTCTAGATTTAGATATATCCACACCTATTGTGGAATGACTGGGTGGTGGACCTTTTTTTAAGCAGTAGGAAAAAAAATTAGATAATTAAAAATGAATTTTTAAAAGAGTAAGATCACGGGCTATTGACAGAATCAGCTTCAAAGATGATCATACTTTTATGAGAGAAAAGCAAGTTGGGATTAAAAAAAAAATTATAAAGAGGGGCAGTGTCAACTAGAGCCCTAGGTATGTTGCACAGTATCTGAAGGCTAAAGGCCTAACTGATGACTCTTAACAAGGGACTTAACATTTTTAGGCGTGTGCAGAGGTGGAGGCATTTTTGTGATTTTTTTCTTTTATTTTTCTTTCAGGAATATGTAGTGCTATATAATTTTAAAATAGAGAAGGGGAAATTTTGAATGGCGTCCGAGGATCATATTTTAATGTTGATCAATATTAACATCCCAGTTTTGATGGTTATACTGTGGTTACCTGGTAGAGTCCCTTGTATATAAGAAATATACACTGGAATATTAAGGAATAATGGGCCATGATGCCAGCAATATATGGTACAGAAATGCTCACAAATGAGAAATCCAATACAAAGGCAAATAGGAGCACTGTGGCCTTTTTCTACCACTTTTATGTACATCTGAAATTATTTCAAAATAAAATGTTAAAAGGGACTCATGCTGTACAGGCTGTTTTGTAATCCGGATTTCTCAGAAACTCTTTATCAAGATGTTAGTTGGGTTATTTAAGAGATTTACGGATCACTCATAATCACTTGGACTAGGAAGGAAGTGGAGAGGAAAAGTGAAGATGGAGCTTTTGCAGAAATGGTTACAAAAGCCAGCTGTAAAAGACATGGGGACAATCGAGAAATCACATTGATTACTGAATGGTATTACATGAGGACTGTTAATCTTGTCAGTGTGATGACAGGATTGGAGTTATCTAAAAATGGCCTCAGGTAGTTGAGATTCTTAGTGAAGTATCTGGGGATGAAATGTAATAAAACATACAGCTTGCCTGAAAATACTTCAGCACAGAAAAAGCAGTTGAAGCCAATATGGATGAAAGTAATAGTTATCAGATCTTAGCAATGCATAATCACAGTTCATCATGGTGTCCTCTCTATTTTCATCGATGTTTAGAAATTTTCATTTGAAATCCTACAAAGAAAATAATGACAAATACTTCTCCCTGTTAATAAAATAGCTTTAATTTTTTGGTTTCATTTCCAAATATGTTTTTAAAAGATTTTCTTTATTTGACAGAGAGCAGCAGGGGGAGTGGTAGGCATAGGCAGAGGGAGAAGCAGGCTCCCCACTGATCAAGGAGCCTGATGTGGGACTTGATCCCGGGATCCTGGTATCATGACCTGAGCCGAAGGCAGACACTTAAGTGACAGCCACCCAGGTGTCCCTTATTCCCAATATTAAGAGTATTGTAAAAATTAAAAGTCTCAAGAAGAGACATAGCCATTATTATTGATTATATCAGAGAAAGGCAGTAAGATTTAGAGCCAAGGAGAGAAGGGGAAGTTTCGTTTTTAACTTCACATATTTTGTAGTGTGTGAATGTTTTGGGGGTAAGAAAGTAAAAAAGCAATACATGAAATACATTTTCCTGAAAGATCTGAGGGTGTTCACCAAACTGTTGGAGGCAGTTACCTCTAGGAAGGGGAGTGACTCATTGAAGGTGTTGTTCCTGAGAGGAAGCTGTTACTTTTTTGTCCTTGTTTTTCTACAGTTGTTTATTAAATAGTCAAAAGTTCAAATGCAAAGTTAACGCATAGTAATTTGTAAATGATTTGAGACAAGACATGCAAAGAAAGCGAACATACCAGCAAACATTTTAACAAAACCCAATAAGCTCAGGTTAAAAACCCCTGATTTATAACATGGTTTGTTTTTAAAGATTGATTTATTTATTTGAGAGGGAGTGAGAGAGTGGGTGGGGGCAAGGGGAGAGGAAGAGGGAGACAAAAGTCTCAGGTTCTGCACTGAGTGTGAAACCTGACATGGGGCTCAATTTCATGACCCTGAGGTCATGACCCAGGCAGAAACCAAGAGATGGACACTTAACTGACTGCACCACCCAGGCTCCCTACAACATGATTTTTCATGGCTAAAAAAGATTTCATCCTATGAACATGCCGTATTTAACTAAAATATCTTTAGATTGCTTCTGTTTGTAAGATTAGAAATAAGGAACAACTTGCCCACCATCATTTATTCCCTGGAGATAGATTCCTCCTAGATAGGGAATTTCTGATGTAGAGGATTTGAGTAATTTTTTTGATATTTACTACCAAAAGTGTTGAAATGTAATACTGGTTCTGCCTATCAAATTGGCAAAAATTAAGAAGTTGGAAAATGTACTTGGCTGCTAAGAGTACGGGGAAGGAAACTTTTATGGGCCTGCTTGAAATACGGGGAGAGCAATTTCATAAAACCAGTCAAATTTAGTAATACACGTGCTCTCTGATCCATCAGGTGGCCTAGTAGGAATTTATCCAGTAGGAATTTATATTAGTAGGAATATATATGAATATATATATGCACAAAAAGTATGCATGGGGATGTTTTTCTGGTTGAATACATGATTCAGTTTTGTCCCTCCCCAAAATTTATGTCTATCAGTACCTTAAAATGTGGCCTTAATTGGAAATAGGGTCTTTGTAGGTATAACTAGTTAAGATAAAGTCATTCTGGGGCGCCTGGGTGGCTCAGTGGGTTGACCTGTTTTCAGCTAGGGTCATGATCTCAGAGTCCTGGGATCGAGCCCCGCATCGGGCTCTCTGCTCAGCGGGGAGCCTGCTTCCCCCTCTTTCTCTGCCTGCCTCTCTGCCTACTTGTGATCTCTGTCTGTCAAATAAATAAATAAAATCTTAAAAAAAAAAAAAAAGATAAAGTCGTTCTGGATTAGGATGGGCCCTAATCCAATGACTGGTATCCTTATAAGAAGAGGGAAACTTGCACATACAGAAATTCACAGAATGCCAGGTGAAGACACACAGAAGGAAGACCCTTTTTGTGGTACTTTCTTATGGCAGCCCAAGAGAAACTAATACAGATGGTCACTGTGGCCTTGTTTGTAACAGCAAAAGAAGGGAAGCAGCCTGAGTATCTATCAGTAGGGGACTTCTCTTAAATTATTGTCTGCCCATTCAGTGGACTACTATGAAGCCACTAAAAAGAATAAAACATCACCAGTATACACTGTCAGATGAAATATACAAGATGTAGGCACCATGTATGACACACCACCACTTAAAAAGCAAGAGTGGACTTGTGCTTGTATGTGAATTGAATTCTCTCCAACTAGACAACAAACAGCTTATAACACCAGTGATCTCTGTGAAGGGGAAGTGAGGAACTTAGGGTTTGAGGAGGA